TCTGGATTTCTTTTCTTTTTTTATGGATACGGTTCGTAATCTGATATAAATATATAAATCAAAAATCTTTATAGGTCTAAACATATTTGTGAATTCAAAACAATGCTCACGCCTCCCTTCGGTCGGCGCTCGCATTTTTTGACTTTTGTGATCGAGACAAGAGAGTGAAAACGCAGCGGACCAAAAGTATCTTTGATGCCATTTTATAGAGCTCGACGAGTACTATAAATGAGAGAAAAAAGAAAAAAATTCGACTAAACACTTTTTGTGCTGGGAGGCCTGAAAGTTAGACATTTTGATAAATGGGCGTTCAAACATAGGCTTCTTACTCAAAGACAGAGATTGATATCGACATTATCGTTTTTTCATTGGATTAAGCAGCTCTTTAGCTTCATTTTTATCTATAGTGTAAGAACTTTTTGTTTTCTTTTGCCTTCAGGAGAGATGAAATACTAAGTGCCCTTTTTTCATTTTCGGCCGTTTTGTGACAGCTGGCCTGTGCTTGTAAAAATTGTAGAACAGTTTTGAGCATCAGCACTTATACTACTCGAGCTGCTTCTTCGTATAGTATATCAAACGTCGATGTTAACTCTATTGATGTAAAGAAAAACAAGGTCAAAGTTGCTTCGTTCTCAGACAGGTCAAAACCTGATATCCCTAAACGGGCATGTAGAATATGACTTTTTTAATGAACAAATGAGCAATTCCATGTAACTCTCTATGCTCTATACGACAGAAATGTTCAAATTTTCGCGGCTGTTATGTCTGTATACAGTGAACGGACCTGAATAGACATACCCAGCTAAGAACTTTTGTGCACACCCACTGAATGCCCGAGGGGAGGCTCCAAGTATTTCTGATCAATTCACCATGATAGACTATCTGTATACTGTAAGTTTTATTATCCGTAGATCACTTTTTGTGTTATTAATTGTGTTATCACAATTGACTGATTTACGACGACATCTATATCGCAACTATGAAAATATTTGCTTAGTTTTTCTTTCGTTCTGCATTAGTAATTATTTTTCTGTCACCGCTTGAACATTTTCCCTCTTGTGTAAAAGATAATTTTATACTTTTCTCTCTTGTGATTCGCTTATCCATAGAATATCTGACAGCCATTTTTCCGTATTTTGCGCACACACAAACACACACACAGACAACCATTTTATAAGACCCTAGACTAAAGTCAAGGGAAAAACTAAGCAAACGTTTTCTGTAGGCCGGGGATACATGTCGCCAGATAGCAGTCAACTGTGATAATACAAAGAAAGTCGGCCACGGATAATAAAACTTACAGTGTATAGAGAATCTATCATAGCGAATCGATTAAAAATAGTACCAATCTCCTTAGGATTCGTAGAGAGTGTCCAGAAAACCTTTTAGCTTTATTTACATTAGACGGTTTTTCCGTGGAAGCAGAGAAGTTCACAGCGTTTCGCAGCTATAGTGACTGCGAACTTCTACCGAAGGGAGGCGTGAGCATTGTCTTCGATTTAAGAGTCACGAAAGGGCGTTCAGTAGCGCAGATCCAGGTATTAAAGTCAAGGGACCGAGCTAGTGGAGACGAGCGCTACCTTGTTATCAACACAACAATCTAGAGAATTACACTGAAGAAGTAAAAAATATACTTATTTTATTCTTCATTTTCAGTTTCATGACTCATTGACTCTGTACTTGATGGGACAGGCTATCCATTAAATTTTATTTTCCATTTCTCCACCCTTTAATGTACACATAAGCTCTTATGTGCATTAAAAACTTGACCTTATTCTCCAAAGGGTTTCTATTTAGTAGATTATTTTGGTAGTATTAATCTCCCATCCTCGACCATTCTTGTTAAAATCCTCCTTTCCAATCCATCTGGGAAAACATACATTCCTTTCGAACAGTTTTTATTAAAAAAAGATATTAACCGATCATCTTTAGGTTTTACTGTCCCTATCCTATATTGCGAGTCTATAAATGTGTTGCTAAGGTCGTGGTTAAAAAGAAATATTTTATGTTTCTCGCTTATGATTGGCCTATCCATAGAATATCTGACGGCCATTTTTCCGTATTTTGCGCGCACACACACACACACAGACAACCATTTTGTAAGATCCTAGACTAAAGTCAAGGGAATGACCGTTACTGGAGGAAAATTCCACAGACAATTATAATATAAATAAAAAGATGAAGTCGGAAATAGCTGCAGTTAATACATCTGATTGAACCCATATCTCTTTCACACTTCATCATTGACGTACTTATTATTCTGAATTTATCCTGCCATAATGGACTCAGATTGACAAATCTAATCCGTCTCAATGATGTAAACATTTTTCTGCTTTATTCATCAATACCTTTTTATTATTAAGCTTTTAGTTAAATGAAGTAAATTGTTTTCTTAATTATTTTGTGTTTTGTAACTTAACGAGACCTTTTCTCCGTCATTAGGTTATGCTAACATTGGTGATTAAGAGAAAACAGTTTCTCATCAGATCATGTTTTTAAATTCATTTTTAAAAGCAGACCTCGCCACCATATTAAACGTGGTCGATTACGTGTGTTTCGTACAAGTTCAAGGCTACTCCAAGTCATCGGATACCAATACTAGAGTTCCAGGAAAATCCGATACTACGCCGGAACTACTGGAAATGATGGCGTCTTTTGTCTCTCATCTTGAAGACCACACTTTGCACCATCTATCCATGTAAAAAAGTCGCTAGCTTCCTGCTGCAGTTTGTACCACAATAAAACGTCTCTTTGATGGTACAATTAAATTCAATCCAGATGAAATGTATTCAGATATACTGGATTTAAATCCACCAAAGATAAATTATTTTTGTAGGATAAACAAGACATTGATAAATAAGTCAGCAAATACCAGCATTGAGAACGGTTCATGGTACATTACTTTTTCATGAAGTAATTGCGAAACCAAATAGTAAAGTTAATGCAAAACCTAAATCAGATGCACAAGACTGATTAATTCAAGCAAATTTTTAAATTATTTAAGATTCCGTAAAAAAACGTCGAAGCTTTTATAAAGTGTCGTGTTTTGTTGCATCTCCAGAAATTCAGCAGATTGTTGAAAGTTTACAACAAATATCTATAGAAAACAACGCAGGCACCCAGATCCTCACCGTTACAGTATATATCCGCAGATTAACAAGACAAATCACACGATTATCGTGTATGCCTACTACACATTTTGGTCGTCGTCTACACAATCACCAGTCGCAATCGACGCCCTTTCTAACATTCTTCAGCATTAGACATCAAGTGTTTATCCCAAAATTCACTGTCACCCATATTTCGACGTATGTAACACATTATTTACCCCAATGTATTGTTATTCGCTACCGCCAAGCTACAGTGGGCACCTATTTATAAAAAAACTGGCTTTCATTTTCTCGATCTTTTAACAGGAAAGGTAGAATCTAGGCATCAAAATAGCTGTGATGATTTTGGAATATATAGAAAAATAATACTGTCTCAAGGGATAAAAACTAAGAAATTAAATTGGTCAGTCATTGTCTCTATAATAAAGAAGAATAATTGCGTGTAGATACACCAATAGCAAATATTTCAATAAAAACAAAACCAGTTTAAGAATAAAGGATAAACGACATACAGCACACAACAAAAATAAAACATTGGATTAAGTATATTAATTATTGATTAAAACATTCATCTCAATGTATTGTCATTCGCCACCATCAAGCCAAGGTGGATATTCTTTTAAAAATCGGCTTTCATGTTTTCGATCTTTTAACCGTTGCTGGAAAAACTTCAACGGGATATCGCACTTAATGACCAATCAAATCTAAGACTCATAATAATAACTGACTATCCATAAGATTCTTAAAAATGTTGTCATAATTCTAATCCTTCCCTACAGAATGTACTTGGTACCAAGTACTTGAATCAAGTACTTTGACTGCGTAATGAAGCCGGTACTTGCCTTTTTTCTACAAGTAAATTTACTTGTAAGTGCTTCTCTTTATATGCCATGTACTTTCAGAAAGTACTTCTTAGCAATAAGGCAAGTATGTCGTTCATTGAGCAGTACTTAGCAAGTAATCAAGTACTTGCATCAAATACGTTCTCTAGGGTTTCCTTACTCTCCAATAAGCAGCTCAGTTAGAAGACCAATTCGAAAAAGCAATGGCTGACGACGTAACTGTCTACTGCTTATATAACTTAAAATGTGGACAACTCTTTTAGTCAGTCTAAATACAAGTTAGCATTTCAAGAGACTCATCAAAATAGTTTATACTTTCTGAAGTATACAGTGATTAGTACTAGTTTACGTAGTCAATATTTTTCTTAATCCATATGATCGAAATGATTTAAATTTCTTAACAAAACTATAAAACATTTGAAATAAACGTATTATTGTGGCCGGTAATAACTTTATTGTCAAATGTCAAATGATGTTCAACCAACACTATTAAACCATCGTAACAAGTATACAATCATCTACTTTAGCAACCGTATCACAAATCATAAACCAATTTCAAGACTAAATCCTCTCAAACAGACACTCATCTATGGTCAACATTCATCATTCATACATTCATATTTGACATATGCCATATAAGTAAAATAGTTTAGATAACTCACTCTCAACATACATCCCATTCCTCCGCTCCCACCGCACGTCACTGTAGTCAACAGAGTTGAAATAAGGATTTTGCGTAACTTGACACGTGTCAGCGCAGAAATGCGTCATGACATAAATATATGAATGATCAATGATTGACCGTTAAACATATTTCATTTTCTATGATCTAAACATGAATTTTTATAAATCGAATGTTAAACAAAACTCAACTCTGTCTTAAATCCAACAGCGCTTTTTAGAAACCGAGTCAAGATCCGTTGCTGTTTTGATTGATAAAATCTGTAACTTTAATAAAAAAAACACTCAATGACAAGTAGCTACATGCTTATCCAAGCAACAGAACATTTATTACAAAACTTTAGTTTTTATCAAATTCGGATAAACATTAATTATTTTCCTCCACACCGATCCAATTTACATTCCAATGATTGTCAGCGGTAACTTTCATTAAAGTTCCCGATGTAGCATTCCAATAATCACGTAAAAAGATTTGAAATTTTGTTGATGTTGCAAAATATATTGAAGTTGTTCCAATTATTCCATAATGACTACCCATTCCGCCTAAACTTGTAAAATATGCTGGTGTTTTTGAAAAATGACATTTGCTTGTATCGATGTTCATTTGTATACCATTTGGTTCATATCGAGCCCATTTTGTAAATGGAGAATTACCCATACAAACATACGGTTGTCTATTCACTTTTTTATTTAAATTTTCAACGTTTGACTTCAACGTTTCATAATTACTCAAAAAATCAGTGAGTGATTTAGATAAATTGCAGGAGTCGTTTGCAGCAAAACTCTCAACAGTGATAAACAATACGAGTAAACCGATAAATTTCATGTTTGCAGAATTATATCAGATGAATAGAAGAAGAGATAGTGCTTATGTAAGGTTATTGAGAAAATGTAACAATACAAGGAATATAGCTTAAAACAAGTAGGATGGGAATAATTCCATCTGATGGCAATTGATCAAGAAATAGTTAAATTACATAAAATGTTACATAAAATACGTATTTATGTAAAAATCCATCATAGGAAATGCACGTCCCTACCATAAGCTATTCTGCAGATTTGTGGAAAGGCATTCTGCGATTTATCTAAATCACTCACTGATTTTTTGAGTAATT